CCCCCGCGCCCCCCTTACATGTTCCTGTTACAAATCTGGCCTACAGTAAAAGATGTTTGCTCAGACCAAGGGTGTTTAAAGGTTGTCTTGCAGCCTGAAAAAAACAATACTGCTGTCTCTTACTATGATGTACTGAGGGGCTTTAATCTGCTCCCTCTCYTCACTCAGACTCCGTTTCGGATGAGTGCATTAGATCTCTGGGACATGCAGGAGGCTGTGAGCGGGGCCAAAAACGTGGAACCTGGTTGTTTGTGTCCTTTCATTTACCTTATTTGTGCAAAAATGTTGGACGTTACACGCTTAATGTGTAGTTTCACGGTTGATACTATGGGAAAAGGTTAGAGGAGAATAGGGGTTTTTTCACAGACAGGTGTGTTTGTGAGTCAGAGGGGAGGCGAATCAGAAACAGGCAGGTTTGATGGCTGGCATTCAGGCGAGCAGAGGACAGACATGGCAAGATAGGAAGCAGATGTTAAAGCTTTGGATTAAAATGGAGCAATAAAATCCCACAGCGATGTCCCAACTGACTATGTTATATTAAAAAAAATGCCTCATGTAGTCGCTGTGATCCACCTGCACACAAACATTCTACAAAACGATTCCCAAAAAATGCCCCTTTCACAGATGCATCGATAAAGCTTTAATATCTGATTATTAAATGGGGATGTTGTGAACTATTCTTTTCCTTTGATTAGGCCCAAGGTAGGTTTGTGAATATGTCTAACCTCTTGTATATAAGAAGTGTTTATAGAGTTGGTTAGCTTGCATGCTTTTGTTGGTGGAGCCAACAGGTCAGGGTTTTATTGCACTGATGTGAAAATGTGACCGTGTTTCATTTGTTTTTGTATCACATGGATTCCTGAGCAGCTGAGTGTGGATGAATGTGATCATCTATTCACCGGCATGTGAGAGCACAAGCTCATGGTTTTCTCCAAAATGTAGTGCTAACCACTTCAGTTAGGCCAAATGGTTGTGTTGATGACCCCCCCCCCCCCAAAACCCCCTGGGGAAAAAAAAAAAAAAAGAGAAATATGTAGCAGAGATATGAGAAAGCGACAGCGTGTAGCATGAGTCCCCATCGGTTTGTCTGTCTGTGTGTGCATTTTTCATTAAAAAGGGCTACTGTCATTTTTTTTAAATTTTAAAACATTGTTTTTATTTTTATGGTATTAGTAAGAGTAACACTTTTTTGACAAATGAGGAATTAATAAATGCAATTGAGAAGCTTGTTTGGATTACTTCTCAGTTCTGTGCTTCAGTCACACCATTTTCATTTTTGACAACACTGCCCTCTAGTGGTAAAACCTTGTTATTAGCAAAGCAGACAAAAATAAATAAATCTGAATTTCTCATTTAATTTTCTCTCTTGGTTTCCACCCGGTGCAAAATGATCATCCCCGAGTTATAAAGGATGTGCTTTTACTCATGATTGTTGTGTTATAAGGCAATAATTAATCATATGCATTATTTATAATGCTGCACTGGATGTGTAGCTGGAAAAAAGAACAGTATCGGAAATCTTCTGCTTAAGATGAAAATAAAATTATATAGTAATACAGAGCAAAGACGATGCAGTCTATTTTGAGGTTGTTGGTTTGGGCTCAAAGGTGATAGTAAATTTGAGAAAAAAATTGAAATTGTATTTTAAATTGAATTATTTATGAGAATTGGTCATTTGCATTTATAAAAATACAGTGTGGTGAAAACATTAATCTCTCTTGGTAATTCTTCCATTTTGTTGCCACACAAAAAGGTCGTTTTGCCTTAGATTTTTGAATTCATAAAATGTTTGATGAACGTAAGTGGGGGAAATGTTTTAAAGCTTGACTTGGTTAAAGAGTGGCTGGAAAAAGCCATTGCCTAAGGTAAAAAAAAAAGAAGCTAGACTGGCTGGAAGAAAGTGCTGGTTGGAAAAAAACTAAATTAAAACTTTTAGGCTAAGGACAGCAACGTGTCTGAGGCAAATCTACCAGCTCTCATCATGCTGAGAACACCTACAGTAAAGCATGGAGGTGGCAGAATTATGCTGTGGGAATGTATTTAATCAGCAGGAACTGGGAAACTGATCAGAGTTAAAGGAGAGATAGATGGAGCAAACAGACAAAAAAGGGAGAGGAACTAATTTGAGGCTGGACTGGAGATTAAACTTTTAGCAGGATATTGACACAAAAAACACACTGAACACGTGGTTAAAGGGAACCATGTCCTGGAATAGCCCACCTAAATCTAAAACCTGAAACCAACAGATAATTTAAAGACTGCGTGTTGTAAACAAGCAAAACCTGCCCAATCTGAAGGAGAAGGAGCAGTTTTTGTCATGAATACTGGACTAAAGAATGCAGGTGTCTGACCAAGCTCATGGAGATGAACCTGAGGAAATCTGAATTTAAATTCCAGGTTGAAAGGCAACAGAATATAAAGAAAACCAAGGATGTTTACAAATGCATTAAAGTTTTTTTTGTGCGAGTCCTACTGATCTTTAGCCTGTTGTAACGTAAGGTATGGTGGTTTATGATGGTGCTGTTAAAATGAGCAATTAATACATTTAATTAACCCCTGAGCTCTTTATTCTGGGACAGACAGTGAAATAGACCAGAGGTTCTCAAACTGGGGTCCCTGGACCCCCAGGGGTCCACGAGAGGTATCTTGGGGGTCCTCAAAAAATTTTACTAAAATGTTAATTAGGTTTTTGTTTTTAAAAATGCATGGAGAACAATGAACTAATAAAACAAAAAATAATAAACTTAATAAAATATATATTCCCATTTCATTTAGGGGTTGAAATAGCAATAAATAACCTTTTAAAACAGCATGGGGTTTATGAGGGGGGTCCCTGGAATTTCTTTTGTTCTTGTAAGGGGTCCCCAGACCCAAATGGCTTGAGAACCCCTGAAATAGTCCTGCTGTCAAACAGCCACCGTGTATCTTTCAACATTCACAAAAGCACAGGAGGAATTATTAGAAGTAATAATTAACTCACGCCAGTGAGCCAGCAGGTGCAATAAATATGATATCTGCAGCTGACTGATAAAAGGTCTGCAGCGAGGAGTCAACATGTTTCATGTTCAGGAACGTGTTGATAACAGAGTCACGTGACTCAGGGATGAATCACTTGAACTCACAGAGCGCGCGGGCATTCCCATCCAATCACCTGCACCTGTCCGCCCAGCCAGCTGCCGCTCCCTGCCGTCATAAACCGCTCAGCTAATGGTGGATGTGGAGATAACAGCTGGTTCGGTGTCAACCTGCGCCGACCACGGAGTTCTCGTGAGACGTTTCTTTTCTTCCCAGCCTCGCTGTGTGTCCTGCCGCCGCAGCCAGCGTTAGCAGTGTCTTCTTCTTGGCATCACTTCTTCCTCCGGCGTCATGTGAAAACGGCTCCACCGGACTGGACCCCCCCCCAAACACTTCCTCCTCTCAGTCGAGCTCCAACCGTCTGTGTCCACGTCCTCGCCCCCGCCACGGTGGTCGTTCGCACGCGGGGTATAGGGTCCCTGTCTCCGCTGGCCCCCACGGTTGATCCAGCGCCTCTTCTTCTTGGCGTGCGGCGGAGCCGAGGATGAGCGAGCAAGGGAAGGGCTCGGCATCCGCCTCTACCGCGGCCCCGGCTCCAGGGTCGGACACTTACAAAGGCTGGCTCTTTAAATGGACCAACTATTTAAAAGGGTACCAACGGCGGTGGTTTGTCCTCAGCAACGGCCTCCTGTCCTACTACAGGTAAATGATGATAAAACAGTCTGTGTTGGAACAGTTGAAATGAATGCGCACCGAGCGGCTCGTGTTTCTGTCGGCGCATCACGACAGCTGGCTCCCTCAGCTGGGCTAAAGCTAGCTGTCAAACAGACAGGCGGCTGTTTACCTCCAGCTGACGGAGGCACAACCTTCAGCTGACTGTAGGTGGTGGAAAGGCTCAGACGCTGGTAGAAAGTGACACAGCAACACATCTTATAACTTCACCTAACAGAGTGCAGGAAAATGATGGATGCGGGCGTCAGCTAGCAAACTAAGCTAGCTCGTTAGCCTCCTGTCCGAGCTGTCAGCAGATTGAAGATCATCCAGCTCTTCGCTCYGCTGTCACATTAACACCAATTACATTTTGTCATCAGCAAGGGCTTCGTTTCAGACACTGTTTTTTTTTTGTATTGTGCAGTTTCAAACTTTCACTTTGTTAAACTGTCGTTTTAGTTTGAGAAGTTTATTCATTCATGTTTGGTTTTCTGACATTAGACTCTGTTTAATTGCTGTCAATAGACACTCAGTATACTGTATGTGTTGGCTGTCATTGTCAGCCTGTCCTCACAGCTGCCAGCCGTCAGATCACATTAGATCTATGAGACAGATAGGCACACCTGTGGCTCAGGTGCTCCGTGTTCTTGTGTGAGGGGGAGTCAGGTTCGTGTGTGTGTGTGTGTGTGTGTGTGTGTGTGTGTGTGTGACGAGGAAACAATGAGTGGATCATGATGCA